AAGCCATACAATTCACATTCTAAAATATAGAACGATTTTAATAGCCAAACTTGCTTTAGGTTCAATTAATCCCTCATATTAACTAAATCAAATAGTCTCTTCTTGTTGTATTTCTCTTTGACAATAATGAATCAAAGAGTCTTCAAAAACAAAAAAAAAAAGCAGTGTAAATTGTGTCGGTGGTCGTACCAAAATTGGAAAGCAACGATAGATGGCGTGTGCAAGTGGCGGTCTTCGTCCTCATCAGGAGACATGTACAAAGCGTAGCACAACTCTCACGTTGAGCAAATCTAGGTTTGATTTTGAAGAAAATGAAACTACTTCTAGAGAGAGAGAGAGAGAGAGAGAGAGGCATGCTTGCTAACGGTATGTAGAGTAGAAGACCGTCTGGACAACCTTAGAACTGATGGATTTATTGTCATTGATTGATATAGAGATTAGGTCATAGCAAGGGATAGAGAGGGAGAGAGATATTTTATGAAAAAGGTTTCTATACTTTTAATCTTGTATAGAAAATATATACTTCTCCTCATCCAGCCGTTCAATTTACATCAAGTGAACCAAGGACCGTTTGATCGAGGTCTAACATCTCATATTATTTTTCTTCTACTTTTTTTAGAAATTATATGAATATGAAATGCGGTATGTATCATTATTTCAATGGGTGCAACTAAAACTAATATTTACAAAAAAAAATACTTTTGATAAAAATACAATGACCAAAATACCCCTAAAACTTTCAGGGGTATTTTGATTAGTTTATTTATTGAAAATATTTTTTTATATTTTTTTACAGATGCAAGTTTAAGAGAGGAGTGTACGCCCAAAATTTGGCGTCAAAATATTTTGTAAAAAAATATTAAAAATAAAATAGTGTAGAGGCATGACATTGTGATTGAAGCCATCTCAGCCATCCATTCAAAATAAAAGGTACTATAAGAGGAAATATATAAGTTTTATGCAGTAGATGAAGTATAGAAAGCTTGCCCTTAAGTTATAGCAAGGATACATAGGAAGAGAGAGAGGCATCATTCAAACTTACCAATGGGTTTCTCACTAATAGGGGTGACAATGGACTCGACAAGACTTGGGATCCGATGGGTAGACCCAAACTCGGGTCCGAGTATGGGTCCAAATTTTTGCCCCAAATACTATTTGGGTCTGGGTCTGGGTCCATCCAACTGACCCGTATCCGTAGTCATAGGGTATATGATGGCAATCATGTATCTTTAGGCATGCACTAGGTATTCATATTGTCACAATATGGGCAACATTTATAGTATTATTATCAGAAAAAGAGAAGCTCATAGTCATAGGGTGTTTGATGGTAGAAAAAAAAAGGTCAAAAAAAATAATAATAAACTCGTAGTCATAGGGTGGCAACCCAGGACCCAATGGGTAGACTGGATACCCGACGGGTCCAGGTATAAGTCCAAATTTTGAGTCTGAATACTATTCAGATCTAAATGCGAGTCCACCCAAAGCTGACCCATTGCCACCCCTACTCACTATGGAGATAATCCATAAGGTAGATGGCGCCCACACCAAAATACCTATGTTTACTTCCCCAGTGACACATGCAGTGTGTGCACAATTGTTGGAAAGAAAGAGAACCTCATACATAAGTGATCCCTTATTTGGATAGGACTCGGTCGGGACCAAACTGGTTTTGGGAGGATATGGTTCCTGGCCCAGTCCCCCCTCTTAAACCCTCTTAATATGTTTTTTTCTTTTTTTTAAGCTCTTCTAATATTTATTACGTAACTCAACCATAGCCAGTCCCAAGCCGGTCATGTTGGTCCCAAACCAAATTAGAGGAGAAGGGTTGTGTTAGATATGGCAGTCATCATAAAAGTTTGTCACATATTTTCATGAATCCTTAACATATGTTATATGCTCATGCTAGTGCATTTCCTGTAAGTGATGTGTTGTGTCAGAACTAAGGATATAGCCCTTGATAAACAGATTGACATAATAGAATTTGTATAGCCGAGCCCAAATAGTTAGGATAACTCTCGGATGATAATGATGTTCTAATATTTATCAAATCCTTCAAAATCCACATCCCATAAACCTCTATTTTAATTTTCATTTTATGGTATGTATTTTTAGATATTTTCTAGATCTGATTGATCCAAACCCAATCCAAATCACGATTTCAATAATCCTACATAGATCTATAGGTGAACGATCTGCTTCACTGATTTTGATTTTGAAACACAGATTAAACTTTTGAAGATTCAATTCATAAACACCTTCAATTATGAAGTCTGTCTCTTTGTGTGGCACAATATGGAGGGAATTCAGAGCAGTACCCAAACGTCCTACTTCATCATATCAATACACACGGTAACTCCTCTTAAAATTAACTCAAAATCAAAATCAAAATCAAAATAAAAAAAAAAAACACATGCTACTCATTCTCATGCTTTGAGGCCATGCAATTTTCAAGCTCGACCAAACTTTCATTGAATCCCCACTCTCTCTTTCTAGGAGTCAAAGCTTAACGACATTTCATCATTATTCTCTCCCCAATCCTCCCACCGCTAATTTCGGAGGTGTCTTGGACCGTCAGATTCTGATCCAACCGTCCTCATTCAGCAAGTAATTTCCTCATTTATTGAGGTCTAAAAGCTCATGAACACTATTTTCTCTTTGAAGTTGGATCTACTTTTGAGTTTCTAGACAGCTTGACAAGCAACATTTTCCATTGTACGTTCCAAAACCTGTCTAAAAGACCAAATATCATCAACAATGACAATTACATCCCTCCACTCCAAATTATCATTATGCCCTTGTCTTTGTGGATGTAGTTTTTAAGTCGAATATTATGGAAATTACATAACAAGATTCATGGACCTGATTACAAATAGTTGGGATAACAATCGGATGATAATGATAATGACGATGACGATAATATTAAGAGTAGAATAGAGGAGCCACAATAACTGAAAGGACTTGGATGAGGGGTCTAAATCTATCTCTTGGTCGTACGTGAATTCTAATAGATTCTATAAGCAAGGGCTCATATCAGATTTTACAAGTCAAGGCAAGCTTTTTATAGTTCCCCTAATGTATAAAACTTAGAAACTTCCCCCCATCTAACCATCCATTTTGAATAGACGGTTGAGATGCCTCAATCACAATATCACGCCTCTAAACTATTTTATTTTTAATTTGTTTTCTACAAAACAGTTTGTCATCAAATTTGGTTGTCCATTCCTTTATAAAACTCACACCTGTAAAAAATTTAAAACAATTATTTCTAATAAAATAAAATGACCAAATTTCCCTTGAAAGTTTTATAGAAATTTTGGTCATTGTATTATATAAAAAATGTTTTTCAAATATTTGTTTTAGGTATGGGCCATTTAGATGATTGTACGTACCAAATTTCATATTCATACCATTTGTAAACAAAATTAAAAATAAATATTTTGAAGCGTCAAATCTAAATTAGCGACTCACTTGATCTAAATTGGATAACTGGATGGGAAAAAATATATCTTGTGTACAATAGGGGAAGTATAGATACATTGCAGTCAGGGGTATTATCGTCTCTTTAAAATGTGAAGAAGTACCTTGTGAATATTTTAAGACTGTTGGGATATTCTTGTCATTTAGTAGTTGTTGGGTAAGGCCATCTTTTGGTGGTCATATCTCGTGGCCAAGTTCTCACACGGCGGGACCCATCACGTGGCAGTCAACGTGGAGCAAATGAAACCGTGACACGTTGTGTTAAAGACCTACGTCTAGGGCCCACGAGAAGACCAAAACTACCTTACGCAGATGACCAAAATACTTGACTCTTCTTCAAAAATTTCATAAGACAAGGATTATTATCTTGTTACTCCTTTGTAATCGTAATTATTTCAAAAAAATCAGAGCAAACCAAGTGCAAATTTCCCTTAATAAGCATGTTTCAAGGGGTCAATAACGTGTTAGAAATTGTTGGAAAGGCAGCTTTCAATTTTTTTCCTATATCAAAAACTACTTATGTGACCAATATTGCACTAATTTTCATTACATATAGGGAAATTTATTCAAATACTCATGAAAGATGAGTTATGTAACATTTTACCTATATTTTTTATTTAATTTCAAAATATCGATTAAAAAATATGCGAGATATTTCATATTTTAAAACGTTGCGTGAGACATTAATTTTTTGGAACACAATATCGGTCCGTGTATGTATATATATGTGTGAGAGAGATAGAGAGAGAGAGAGTTGGTGTTTCTAGCCTAATATCTTACGATAAATATCTCATGCGATAATGATATTTTAAATACCAATCTCTCACCAAATGAGTCATCACGATTATTTCACAAAGCAAACAGTTAGATATTAGTAGTAAAAAATGTCACTATATCACATAAGTGGTTTTCCTATAAATTACTTTGATTATGGGGGTGCAAAATTAAAGGGTAGTCCTCCATGAAAATATGATACCTTATGATTTGATAATTTTCACTATTAGAAAAGTTTGGGGCATAAAAGGCAAATTTGGGACATGTTTATTCCAATAAAATAGTGCTAAAAAAAATTTCTATAATTTGAGATCAATGCTTAAAAAAACGAATCAGTGGGACGGATCGTCCAACCCCAATCTTGGTTCGGATCGGCTAGATCGGCAATTCATATCATTCTCAAATTATCTGGATCAGCAATCCAAAAATAATTAAAAATAAAAAAATATAAAAAATAAATTAAAAATTTATAAGGTGGGGTTTTAGGAATAAATAACAAGGGAGTTTTTAGGGTACCAGATTGGGACCCATACTATTTTAGAATCGGTCCAGTCCGGTATTTTAAGAGGAATGTTCTATGGTCCCATGAGCACTTTTCAAAAGTTTGGGGCATTTAAGACAACTAGGCCCTATTGCTGTTATAACTGTATTTACTGGGATGTAACCTAAGGTTTTCTGTATGCCAAATCTACCCCTAATTGTGGTGGGCAACTCTATAAATAGCTCCCAACCATATCAAAGAAGGCATCACCAAAGAAACCAAGGTGAGTCCATAGCATTGCCTTTCCAATTCATCCTCTCACTCCAAAAGAGAGAGAGAGAGAAGGAAAAAAAAAATAAGAGAGAAACATTTCCTTCTGTTAAGATCAAAGAATCATGGCCTTTTATGCTGCCTTGAGGACATCAGTTGCCATGCTTATGATGCTTGTGGTAACCATACAACACACAAGTGGTATGTCTCTTGGAACATGGAATTATCATATCATTTGAAAATATTTATTTGATTTTTTTTCTTCTGTGTGTTTGGGAGAGAATTGAATTCAGTATCATGGTTTTTCTTGTTTTCATTTATTCTTTCCTAATGGTGATTATATGGCAATGAAGTGCATTCAAATGATCTTGTTTCTTTTAGCAAATAGTTACGTTTCCTTGTTTTTCTATTTCTTCTTAAGTTTCTGCCATTTTATATAGCAAAGTTAATCTTGAAATGCAATAGTTAAGCTAAAATAACTACCTTTTTGTTCCTTTTCCCTGTCTTTCTCTCATATCTTTTTGTTCCTCTCTCTCTCTCTCTCTCTCTCTCTCTCTACTCTCCTGCTACAGCCACGGCCAAGATCGTGTGCGAGCAGCTCCACAAAGACAAGTGCGCATTCTCTGTCTCCTCCTCCGGCACCCGATGCGTGCTCGAGCAACGAATGACACACTCCACTTCCACAGAGTATGAATGCAAAGCTTCAGAGATAGCCGCTGCACATTTATCAAACTGGATTGAGACTGACAAATGCTTAGAGGCTTGTGGGCTCAACCGAAACATGGTCGGAATTTCGTCGGATTTCCTTTTGGAGCCTCAGTTCGTGAAAAAGCTTTGCGCTACACAGTGCTACCATGGTTGCCCTAACATTCTCAACCTCTACTTCAACTTAGCAGCTGGTGAAGGTGAGTTTTAAATCTTAATGCAGATAAGAATAGAGCGACTAGCTCTGAGAACAAAAAACCAGAGAGAGACAAGGGTAGATTGGGCTTTAATCCTTTTTGTTAAATTATACCATGATTTTTAAGAAAAAAAGCTTTGATTGGTCAAATTTTTAATGGGTGCATGGGGGCCGTTTTTTAACGAATAAGCAGACTTTCTTGAAAGTGTATATTGACTATATAAGTTTGAAAAATATCAAAATGAGGGTAAAATTGTCATTTTGGATAAGAGTTGCTCGGAGTACAAGTAACTTTATTGTGGACATGTTTGGTACGCGTGAAAACCGTGTAGCCCATGCGTTTAAACCGTTTTGCTCGAAACTGTTTTATCGCATGAGGTTTTAGGTGTCAAGGAAATTAATTAAAAAAAATAAATTAGATCAAAATAATTTTGAGCAATTATATCATTTGGATAAAAATAAAGAAAAAGATGTTTTAAATTTTAGTAGGAGTGTAAATGGACTCTTTGATTTCTGTAACCACTGGTTTAAAAATATTTCAAAAAATCAACAAAAACTCTCATAAAATATTTCTAAAGTAGAAAATAAAATAGATAGCTCAGGAAAAGTGAACAGTATAAACTTAAACACTGAGTCAAAAAATTTGCTAAAAAGTTTTGAACAATCTTTGAATGAAAATAATGTTTTCAAAGAGACTTATGAACCACGTAGCACTCCTCCATATGATTAGATGTAGAAATGTTTTCCCATCAGTTACCAATTGGTGTGAAAAAATGGATTATGACTAATTGGTGTTAAAAAACCTTTCACACCGATCACATGATGGAGTTTTTTCATATGAAAATACTTGTACAATAAAATAAAAAAAACGTAAGAATTGACTAGACAAATCAGAACCAGATGAACAGGCTTGGATCTGCTCCGACCCATGTGTTAACTGCACTAACATCTTTTATCTTGCTGACATATTTATAGGAGTCTACCTTCCAAAATTATGTGAGGCACAAAGGGCGAGCTCCCGCCGTGCGATGGCCGAGATTCGGAGCTCCGGCCTCGCAGCCGCACCGGAAGCCTCCATCCCTGCTGAAATACAAGGAGCACTCCCACCCCTACCATCCTCCTCCTAAACTCTCCCTTTCTCTATCTTATTTTAATGTTTAGAGTTTTAGTGTGAGAAAAAAGCGTGTATGTTTCGGCCAACCGAATTATATTTTGAGTTTTATTGTAAGAAAAAAGTGTGTCATATTCCGGCCAGCCGAATTGAGTGTGCGAACTTGGTCATGTAAATGAGTTTATGGTAACATGAAATACAGTGATTTGAGGGTTTCATGTAAAAATGAGAAGGGTTTGTGAATTACCCCCAAGTGTTTGACTTTGCCATTAGTGAGTTACAAATGGTTATATTGAGTTTTATAAATCATATATTTGTGCTACAATTCCTCCTCCCCACCCTCTTATATTTGTGCTACAAATTCCTCTCTCTCTCTCTTAAAATCTTCCTTTACCCTCCCTATCTTCGAGGTAGGAACTTGTTAGGAGTTATCAAAACTTTTGAATTTAAATTTAAATCTGGAATTTCAAATTTTGAATTTTTGTACGTTGTGTAGGATTTTGTATTGATGTACACTTTCTAATTTTTTAAGATTTTGTATTGATGTTCTCTTTCTACTTTCTAATTTTTAAGGATTTTGTATTGATGTACTCTTTTTATTTTGTTAGACCTCTTGTAGTATCTACAAATACCCATTTTTGGGTAATACATATTATTGAAATTTTTGTTTTTATTCAAATCGCTCCAAAGTTTTACGGAACTAAATATTCAATTAAATACAGGGAAAGGGAAAGGTTACTGTAGCATTGCGGCTACAGCTCAAATCTCAAGGGAAACTACTGCTTTGTTGTAAAAAAAAAAATCAAATTGATCATCCCGACTTAGACAATTAAGAATTTGAGAAAATAAAAGAGCTCACAAGCCTTAATATTAACAATTATGAATTTGAGAAAATAGAAGAGCTCACAAGCCTTAATATTAACAATTATGAATTTGAGAAAATAGAAGAGCTCACAAGCCTTAATATTAGTGCGTTTCATACAAAATTATATATTATAAGTCATTATTTATTTTTCAGGGACCATTTTTTCTCTCTTAAGGACGATATTCCCATTCATATTAATATCTCTCCAAAAATATAAATAGGCTAGTTGGTTTCTCCTTCTAGAGATGTAATGGGTTTGGATATTCCCATTCATATTAATATCTCTCCAAAAATATAAATAGGCTAGGTTTCTCCTTCTAGAGATGTAATGGGTTTGGGATCAACTTAGAGAGAGAGAAAACGGGAAAGGAGGAGAGACAAACCAACAAACTCATTTATATTTGCGGGAAAAAAACCTAAATAGAAGGTTAGGTTGGAGAGATAAAAATAAATAAATAAATAAAAATAAAAAAATAATATATAAATAATAAAAAAGATGAAAAATATGAATGTTTATTTTAATTTTTGTAAAAATTTAAAAGCTTTTTCGTTACTAATAAACCTGTAAAATAACCTAAGGGTCAGTCAAAAAAAAAAGGTATTTTAGGATAATTGATGTAAGAATATTTTCATCAAAGGCATTATAATAAGGAAAACATCATCGGGGGTAATAATTTTTCTTAAATGATAATATTTTTTATAGGGTTAATTTGTCACGTGTCGTTAAATGCTCTTTTGGGATTTGGAACGCGGCACATGCATTTTCCACGTAAGTTACTTTTTAATGCGACCATCCCATTTACTCTCCTCCTACTTCAAACGCAACATCTTTTCTATTAATTTTGACGTATGTAAGTAAACTTGGACACTAAAATCTAAAATATCAAAGCTTTCGTACTATTAGAGTTGAACTTAAGGGGAAAGTTTATAACGAAATTATTTATTTTTGATATAAAATGGTCATAATTAATTTTGATTGTTGGATGTGAAATTGGATGGCTACATTTGTTTAATTGATCAAGCTCAAAGTTTTTAAAAAAAAAATCTCAAACTTTTTGACATACCCAAATTATCAAATTTTACATTGGATGGTTATAAGTAATTGTAACATCCTTGTACCACAGGCAAATGGTCACATCGTATAAAGTCTTTATAGATATTAAACATGTAACATCAACATCTAGGCCTGAGAAAAGATTGGAGTTTTGAAACTTTTATTTGGATATTAATTAAGGAAAATTTTTATATAACGTGATAGATTTTTTTATAATAATATAAGGCAGCAATTTTATATAATAAAAGTAAGGTACACCTCAAAAAGCCAACAAAAGGGTGTTCTAAAGTTGGAAAACCGTCTAATTGATCATCTCGACCACGAGATATATGGATTATAAAGAACAAAAAGAATTTCAAGTTCTAAAACTAGTGCATCTTCAAACAAGTTATCTAGACCATATGCTTTCAAGATTTTGAAGTGTATATAGATATACTCGATCTAAACGTTTTTTTGAAAATTTAAATTTCAATAATTATGGTTGAACATGGATTTTTCAAGCCAGTACCAACACCAAAACTACATCTTCCAACCAAATTTAGAAGTGCAAAGTATAAATTATAAAGGAAGCAGCTTATACAAACCTCAACCATTAATGGGTTTGACTCTTTACAGAGCCCACAATGCAATCTCCTAAGTATATGCAATTTTGGCATCATAAAACTTAAATATTAATAATGTCATATTCAACAATTATATATCTAAAAAGAAATAGATTTCATGCCATAGGTCTATATTGTAACATGCATTTTGAGTTATCTTTTTCAATTTTGAACACATCTATTAATTTCAGTCAAAGGCAAAAATAGATTCATAATGAATTCCATACTAGAACTGCATAGAAAGTTCTGTAATGTGGCTTTACCAAATACCATAAAGCCGTGGCCCAACAAATTAATCCTTAAAGTTGAAAATACAAACTCACAGGTGCATTGTGCAAAATCCGAACATAAATTGCTGCCAAATCCAAACATCATATTAGTCTGAATTGCCCCAAATCCAATCATAAACAAGAATGCAACTAAAACCCAATTCATTAGAGCACAACAACATAGCAAAACTCTAATTTATTTTATAAAGTAAGATTGCAGAAAAAAGGCAAAATTATAAGGGGCTCAGAAATTTTTCTGTCAAATTATGTGATAGAAGATCTGGTGTGCAAAAGCTTGCTGGAAATCTTTTTATGATAATATAGGGGATGCTGCAGGTGATGTTGTAGGCATGGAAGACTCAGGTGGCAATGGAAATTAAGGAGGACCCTCAAATGAGGGCTCTGGAACATCAACAGGAGAAACTGGAACCATAAATGGAGCCTCAGATAGTGAAACCGGTGGAAGAGGAAACCCAAAAGAAGGTTCAGGAACCTCGACTGGCGAAACCGGAACAATTTCAAATGCAGGAATAGGACCCTCAATGGGACTCGAAGAAGAAGACCATTCCTCAGATCCGGAGCTCTTAATGCTGATTGCTCTGCGTCTGGAGCTTGACCCTTGTGATTCACATAGTTTAGGAAGGAACACACCTACAAACGTATATTTATAGTTAAAATTCCCTACTAAGGAATTTATTAAAAACAAGAGAATTTCATCAAAATAACTATAAGATATGAACTATTTAACATATGACTTTTGTTTTTTTTATTTAATTCACATAAAAGACAGATGATGATGATAAGGAAAAGTTTTAAAAAGGTAAAATGTTAAATAGCTTATCTGTTATAGGTAGTTTTTCTAAATTTCCCTAAAAAATAAAAGCAATAAATGTAGTTAAATTTCTCTTATAAAGAATTTCATCGTGATTGTAGATAAATCCTTTTTTTCCTTTTTGTTTTGGAGGAGGAGGGGGGGAGGAGGAGATTATTATGCAGAAAAAATTAATATAATATGCCGATCTTGAATTATCAAAGAAGGTGCACCTCAAAAACCCAAGGGTTGTTATGATGCTAGCAACCCTCCAATTAATCATCTACACCTTGAGATGTATAAATAAATATTGGGAAAAAGGATTTCAACTATTAAAATTAGTGAATTTTCTAACACATTATCTAAACAATCTATTTTAAAAGATTTTCGATTGTTCGTAGATGTAAGTACTATTGTTGGAGCTTTGAATTTGAGTTAGAAATAGATTTTCATGCCATCATAGAAGGTTTTTAGCACTAGAACTAATATTTTAGAAGGGTTTGAAGGTGCGCCTTACTTTGATTGTTTAATATCGACGGCTCGTATTAACCGCACCAAAACTCACTGATAAGGAAAAAGAGAGAGCTAGAGAGAAAACCTTCCCCAGCAGCAAGGTTGAAGTACAAATCTACTACATTTGGGCACTCTTGATAACAGTTTGGGGAGCAAAGCATTTGTGTGAATCTCTCTTCTACCAATAAATCTGAAGAAATTCCAATTTCAAACCTATCCAACCCACATGCTTGAATACACTCATCAGTTTCAATCCACCCTACTTTGTTCTCCACCACTATCTCAGAAGATTGGCACGTGTACTCCACATGTGTATTGCTCGATGTCGAAAACTTTTCGAGCGTACACCTTAGGCCTGTGGATGACACCGAAAATGCACACAAATCCTTTGGCAAGTCCTCACATGTGAAATCCCCTGTACAAATCTCAAAATTAAGCAGGGTTTTGCTGAGAGATTAGATGAGCAGTAATTTTATAATTTTTATAACTTTCAAAGCTTATGAAAGTTTATAAATCTTAAATTCTTAATAAAAAAGTTAAGTTTTTATTTTTTTATTATTCATTTTAAGTCATTAAATATTTTCTATAGCTGGTTAATTTTCTAACCGACTTTTTGAAAAAAATTCTTTATATTTTTTAGATAAGCTAATTGTCATTCAAGAAATTTAAAATTTGTTAACAACATTTAGCATATAAAATCCCTTGCAAATTATGGCTCTCTCTCTCTCAAAAAAAAAAAAATGTCATACATATAGCTTTGGATAGAAATGATAGTGACCATATATTGTCAAAAAAAAAAAAAAAAAATTGATAGTGACCAAGAGGTCCTCGAACTCTTTTTAACAATCTAAAACTCCCTTTATGTTCTAAAATATTTCAAATCCTAATCTACATTTGTTTTTCAACACTTCCCTTTATGTTCTAAAATATTTCAAATCCTAATCTACATCTTGTTTTAACACTGCGGATTATAAGAGGCAGTAACCTTACTTGTAGAAATAAGGTTGCAGTATTCTACACCTTACAATTTAGTTCGACAATATGGAGAGTATCAAATGTACACCGCCCATGATGGATGGCATAGATTTCTACAATCTGATTTCTACAAATAAAGTCGCCACCTCGCATATTCAAAACTACTCGTTCTTTAAAATTGACCATAGTATTACTTTCAGAACATGCATCACACTATTGTCAAGAGGATCAGTAAGTTCTTACCATAAGCCAGAGCCACGACTAGCAGCACTACCTGTGCAAAAATGGAAACCCTAATTGTGGCCATGGCCAGTTAACAAGCTCCTTGATTGGTCCCTCAGGCTGGTTAACCTGAAAGCCCTAGCTAATATCCTTCCTCATGATAGGCCCATGTTCATATATATAGTGCAACCATGGTCTGACCTCGGGTTAGTTAAAAAAAAAAACCAAAAAAAATAATAATAATAAAGGAAGGACTTTGAACTTCAAACCTTAGACCTTGGGCCAGTTGCCCTAGGACTTTGAGTTACAAATCTTAGATATTGGGCCAGTTGCCCTTATTTTAAGCCTTAAGGCATGAGATTTTCAGCATTAATGCACTTACATCTATATGCATTATAAAACCAGCCATAATCACGTGCATAGCACAAAACGCGTACATAGTATTAAATGATATCTCTATTTGATTACAGCTTGCCGAATGACTTACTCCCTGGGGTAAAATCCTTTTTAGGTAGGGGTGGTAATAGACCAGGACCCGACCAAGGACCCAAGGGATGTAGACCTGATCCGGGTCTTGGTATGGGTCCAAAACTTGGACCCGACGAGTTGGTTCCTGGTCCAAGTCCGGTAATATTTTTTGGAGCCCAATATATAAAATATATTTAAATATAATTAAATACATAAATATTTTAATTTTTGGGTCGGGTTCAATCGGATGCAGGTAATAGGACCAAGACCTGACCCGGTCTGTTGCCACCCCTATCTTTAGGAGTACTTTAGGACTTAACATTTTATGGATATAACCTCGTCAAATTAACCATCTCAAGAATAAATAAATTTTAAAAAAAATAACATCCTAAAATCGAATTGTATATTTGGATATGATTAGATCAAAATAGTTAAAAATAAAAAATCTGTAATTTTTTTTTTTTAATACTCATTTGACCATGCTTAAGCGGAAAATCCATTTTTTTTTATTCACTTGGCGATTTTAAGTGGATTGCAAAATTTGAGTCTGTAAAAATTATCCCAAGTAGCTCTTTTGTTTGAGGGAGTAACTATACAGTGTACTCCTGTGAGAGTACAAGCACAAGCTCATCTGTTGTATCTTTAGCGAGTCAGTCTTTTAGATAGGGGTCAGGTTGACCCGTGGACCCAATAGTCGACTCAACTGGGTCCGAGCCCAATAAGATCCGATCCGTTACATATTAGTATAAATGCATATTAATAATATTAAATATAATAAATAGTAGCGTGTGCTTGTAAATGAGATGATAAGTTGACATCATTAGAAAAAGAGAAATGGATATGTTACTCTTAAGGAAGAGAAAGCTCCACTGAAATAAAATAGAGGACCACTTAACCAAGTCAATTCTTTAATGTGAATGATTCACAGGACCAGGCATGCCCTTGTAATATTTTACACAGTCCATTATCTAAAGAATTGGATTTGCTAGTAGAAGTATACAAGGCAATTTATATAACCAAATAAACTAAAGGGTGTGGTTTTTATAAGGCTAGAGCCTAAACAATCAAAGTAAGGTGCACCTTCAAATAGTATCGAAAGATGTTGTTTTAGTACTAAAAATATTGATAATGACTTGAAATTTTATTTTCATCCCTAATTATAAAATTTAAAAGCTTAGATCAAGTAGATCTATGAACACTTGAAAATCTAAAAAATTGATGGTCTAGAAAATGCATTACAAGCTGCACTATTTCCAAGACTTGAAGGTCTTTTTTTCTTTTCTTTTTTTACGTCCATATATCTAAAGGCCGTGATGATTGGATTTAAGGGTTTTTCAACATAAAAATAACTTCTTGTAGCGATTTTTTGATGTGCGGCTTAGTTTAATTATTCAGGGCCTTAACCTTATATAAACTTTTTCTTAAACTAAATAATTGAATTATAAGTATCAAACTTTATATTGAGTGCGCCCATGTCAAATCTCTTGTGTAAGTATCCCAAGCAAAGACAGGCAATTAAGGCAATCATTTTCTAACCATTGTTTTTAAAACTATTTTTGGATCTCTTAAATGAACATGTGATCCTTTTACCATTTAGACATAATATAATTGTCAAATGGAAATGAGCAGTTTGCTCCTAATTTGCTGCCAAGATTCACTCATTTCAATAGAAAAATAACAAGGAAGAGTGTGAATTTTGAATTCTTCTTCATGACTCCACTTTCCTTATAAGTTTTTCTAAAATCTCTGTCTAGGATATTGACAATGCTTCCTAGATTATATTTCTCCTTAATTTCTTCTTCAACTCCTATCTCTAAGATTATCTTTCTCCTCACATTGCTTCTTCAACTCCTATCTCTAAGCACATTCAACATGTGTATATTGATCTCAACCTGAAACCGCTTCCAAGATTCCCTCTCTCAAGCCTGTAAGGAAGGTCGCAGTCCCATCTCAAGTTTTTATGAAAAAAAGCAAGTATTTTTTTAAAATTGCAAGGAATTTTTTTTAAAAAATAGTCTTTTATCTAAATGTTTATATGCTGAAATTAGGGCAAAATACCTCAGCCTTGGTTTGGTGTATAAGCTCATTGTTCAAAGGGTAGATTCTAGGGTGCCATCAAATTTTGGACCACGGTAGGGGCCGACCTCACAGTCACCTCTTTAGTGATCCAGTGGCCGTGCTGGTTAAAAGCGCCTAAAATAAATAAATAAACTTTAGAAAACCTTGGAAAACATAAGAGGGATTTGAAAGAGTTTCGGGAAAAGATTAAGCAAATACACATAGAAAAATAAATAAATTGAGAAAGGAAGACAATGGGCCTACTTGTAAGTCGGGCGCATAGCACCCAGAGCTAGGAAATGAGTTAAAGCAATCAGTGTGGGGGGACCGTTCCATTTGTCTTTCAGAGAACTAAACCAAAGACATGACTTTGATTGATTGAGAGTTCATGGTGGTGCGGGACTCAATAGTCCAGGGGACACCTAGGATAGTCTGTAGTCGGCTTTTTTGGTTGTTTGAAGTTTGGAGAGGGCTGGTTGAGTTCCATGGAGTTGCAAAGAGTTCTAGGAGGTTCAGGGCTAAGGTATAACTGAATCTAGAGTTCTAGGGTTTTGAGGGGCGAAAGCATAAATTGGGTACAGTTTAGGGTTACTTGTTCAAGTTTTGGTGCTTTATTTGTTATTTAGAGGCTAGGGAGGGCTGCGTTAAGGTCCTTGGAGTTGCAGGGAAGTCAGGAACTCTAAGGTTGGGTCTAGGTCAAAGCTAGGGCTTCTAGGATTTGAAGTAGGGTAAGGCAAAATGAGCAGGTTTAGAGCCTAAAATAACTGGGAAAAGGTCAACTTATAGGGAATGGGATGTATAATTGCTCTCCTCCCCTCTCCCCCTCCTCCCGGGGTAGTCGCTTTTTGGGTAAGTAGCGTGGTAAGTCAATAGGATTTGGGTCTCTATCTTTTTGGTGAGAATGGAGTCAGAGACCTCATCATGAGGTTCGGCAATACTTAATCTAAGTTGTTAATCGTAGCAAGACTATGGTTACCTCACGCATGAATAAGGTCGAGTAACGCAGTGTGGGGGCTAGTAGTTAATTCGAGCATTTCTGGAGCATTTTTTAGCATTGTTGGAGTCATAAGCTTAGGGGTGGCAACAGGTCTGGACACAAAACCGAACTCAAAAATATAATGTGGGTCCTAGACCTAAACCCGATTGGATCCAGACCTAGACCTGCATAGTGTTTAGTTTCAAGATTTGGACCTTAACACTCCAACATGTCCAGTTTTTTAACCCATACCTGGACTTGGGTCGGGACTTCCCTTCAGGTCCCAAGTTAGGTCCGGGTCCATTACTACGCCTACATAGGTAGGTAACACAATACTTTGACAAGGTCGCACTCAAGGAGTCTTCAGAGAAAAACTAGGTGAAAATGGCAATGTGAGTGTACCAAACTCATGCCAGCAACTACGGGACTCCGGTAGAGTCACAAGGACAAAAATGGTATCTTTGTATGCAATTTTGTTTAGGGTGCAGTTGGCATACGGATACATCCGTAGCTATAGAGGTAAGTTGCGTCTTCAAATTTTATGAAGGTATATAATTTTGATATAAAATCTTTTTAGGATTATTTCAAAATCTATTTTTATATCTAATTATAAAATTTTAAATTTTAAAAATAGTTAAAATCAAATAGAACTATAAACATATGAAAATCTTGAAAATGGACGGTATAGATAATATATTGTAAAATGAACTATTTTTGAAACTTGAAATCTTTTTATTTTTCATGGTCATACATATTGATGTCGAGATGATCAATCAAAGGTTTTTTTCAACATTAAAACTACCTTTTCCGATAAATTTTTGAGGTGCATACGTAGCTCTACGTTATAAGATTGTAACCTTATATAAACTTTTTCCTGGATAACTTTCAAATCATGTATCAATTTTGAGTAATTCTTGGAACCTTGAAAAGTTTACAAGCTCCTATACAATTTAGAACCAAGTTTGACCTAATTGAATGAGTTTCGAGGGATCTATGGTGTTTCGAATTTACGGTTTCGGTTTTGGAGTTTCTAGATATCATGTTGGTGCATAAAGTAGTTTCTTAAGATCAGGGTTGTCTAGGATTACAAAGTTGTGATGTTTGGTGAATAGATCTAGGTCTTATGGTTTTAGGGTTGCTGGCGTCCGAGAATTTTTTTAACCGGAGTAGGGTTGTCTACACTAAAATATTAAATAATTACCATAAATAGAAATTATAAAAAATTATGTAATATTATTCTCAAAAGTCCAATCGTAATCTCATGACATAAAATAGTTAAAAATAAAATAAAACAACTATGATTTTAAATTTTAAAATCAAAGATAAATTTTTGGACCCGGTTTTTATGCGGCCAAGCCCACATATATAGAAATGCAGGCCTCTTAATAAATCTATTTTTAAGATGGATTTTAAGAGTTAATTTTTAAAGACATGTAATCTCTAGCATGGAGATCATGAATACGAAAAGATAAATAAATTTTAAAAACTAAAAATAATAATTTTAGTAAAAAAACATTTGGACCATTAGTTTCCATTTGTTTTTAGATGGAACACCTACTTACATCCATCTTTAAAATGGATGCTTTACACTTTCTGGACCGCATATGTAGAAATACGATCCAGCCCACATGAAACAATTTTCCTAAATTTTCTTATTTATGACGTCATGCAATATATTGCCAGAGTTCAAGGCACAACCTAGTCATCCCAAAGTTCCCAATCTCTCTCAGGGTCTCCAGTTCCCAGATAATTTGGAATTGCTTAGGTCTGCCACAAGCAAAGGAAACACAGCTTAGAAGTGGGGGTGGGGTGGGCCGGACCTGGACCCGGAGGACTCGGACCAGGGCCCGATCGCACCAAAACCCAGACTCGAAAAGTGTTCGGGTCCAAAATTTGTACCCGGACCCAGATCAGGTCTACCCCTCAAGTCCCAGGTCGTATCCTAGCCCATTGCCACCCTTACTTAGAAGCCAATGTTCCAAATCTGCTAGTCGTTGGACCGCTCTCAAAATTTACCAAATGACGGAAGGTGGCTTTAGTTCTCCCTCATAGGATAAAACCAGCACGTACGTAGAATTTTTGGGAAATTTATCACACTATACCTGAGATTTGAAACATTCAACATCTCAAGTATTGTTTTTTATCTAATTTCAAATAGCACATCATTTTTTTTATCAAATTTCAAGTTGCTCATCAAATGACTTGTGAAAATGAGTCTTGAAATTTAATGAATTACACCTAGGATAAAATGCTATATAGTTCAACTTTTAAGTGCATTTTGATGAACTTTACATATTTTTTTAATTATAAAATTTGAACCCAAATCTGATGAAGCTACATGAAGTTAATCAAGACTTCCCAAATCTACTCGGAAAGAGCATTAGGCTTAAAGTTAGGAATCATGCATTATTCCGTACCATATACAATGTAAATAATGTAATGGAATTTTGGTTATATCATATTGAATGTGGATAGTGTAGGAGAATTTTGGTTATATTATGTTAAAATTTGAATATAAATAATGTAAGAGAAATATGAGATTATTGGATTATGAAATATGAGATAGATTATGAAATATGAGATTATTGGATTTGCATATGGTTACACGTGGAAATGTTTGGAATAAGAAATTAATAGTTTTGGGACATTTGAAGTTGGAAAAAGTTTACATAAGGTTGAAACCTTAAAATTTCGACTTCCACTCTTTTACTTTTTTTTTATTTTTTTACTTTTTTTTTTTTATAGAGAGGCAAATTGATTGAGATTATTTAATCTTCTTTTCTTTTTTTGGGTAATTCAGTGAGGATGACGAGTCCCTGTCCACCCTATCCATTTTTTAAATTATAAGTGACTTTTTAAAATTGTAAGTGGTTTTTTAAAGTGTTAGGTGGGAATATAAGCCAAGACCTTAGCTGCCGCATAAATGATGCTACCACCACAACCCCAACCCCAACCTTATTTTCAATAAACTTTCTAATACTATTTACTTTTAGCACAAAGAGATCGCGTTTATTCTTATCCATCAAATTTCCAATCGGGTGGTTGTAAACATATTATAGACTAGAGTCAAAGTTAAAAAATAAAAATTTCTCAAACTCCGTATCAGACTCTAACCATTCAATTTGAGATTCAATAACTAAGAATAATTATGACCTTTTGGTAAGAAAGATAAATGGGCTCATGATATACAATAACATCTTTTAAAAACAAAATCTTAAAAGTCTTTTCTCCAATCTCTCTTCTTTTTTTCTCATTTTTTTCCCCGTTCATATTCTCGTTTGAAACCCAACACATTCTTCCCTCCTCTCACATTCTCTTGCTAAAAATCCAACTCATTCTTTCTACCCTCACATTCCCTCTCTAAAAGCGCAACTCAATCTCTCCTCTAAAATCATCTCTTTAAAAATACTATCCATTTTTTGCATCCTCTCATATACTCTCTCTAAAACTAAAATCAAAGAAGACAAAGAGAAAGAAACTAGAGAAGATAAAAAAAAAAATACTATCATACCTTTAGAAACCTCAAGAATATGATTTTCTCTCTTCTTTGACTTCTCTTCTCCTTTAATTTCTATCTCTTTTTCTTCTCTTCTCCTTTAATTTCTATCTCTTTTTCTTCTCTAATTTTAGTTTTGCAGAGAGAATATGAGAGGAGACAAGAATGGAGTTGGGTTTCTAGGGAGAGAATGTGAGTATAAAAGAACAAGGTGGATGATTTTAAAGGATATGAAAGTAAGAAATGATAGGATTTTTAGAGAAAGGATATGAGAGACGGAACAGAATGAAAATTTTACATCCTTAGAGAGAAATAAAGGGAGGATTTTTTCAATATGAAATTTTGGAAACCACCAAGAATCACTAGATTATTGTTCTCAAAAGAAAAAAATGAATTTTTAGTTTACTATTCTAAAAAAAATGATTCAATCTTGAGAAATTTTCTTTTCATTAGATTATTTTTTTCTCTCTCTATGCTAATGTGGGTTTGAAAGGATTCATTTAGTCCTAAAAATTAATCATAGAGGCCGCAATAGCACACTCCGTACCTTAGATGCACATTGTAGCTTCCATACCATTGATAGCTTCAAAAAACCACTAACTAATTCAAAAAAGAGAGGGCCTTTCATCCCCACTTAATGAACAAAAAAAAATTTGGATTTTTACCTGAGGGAGTAAATTGATAATATACTCCCACGAGAGTATAGTATCTTTTGGGACGACCAATACGCAATTCAAGCGCTCGAAAAATAGAGCGAAACCCTAGTTCCAAAACTTTTGAGTTCAGTTTTGTGTAAGATTCATAACTCAAATCCTTGCAACTTTAATCTCTAGAAGACAAATTGAAGTAGGAAAGTATTCATGTCGAAGAAGAATAGCTTAGCACGTAGAAAGAAGCAGCATGAATTCGATCTTAGGAGTAAATAAGTCTTCTATGTTGGAGTATTCTTTTATTCAAATTTTTTTATGATTCCATTTTAAGCTTTTTTTTTCTTTTAATTGATTTCCTTTTGCAGGAGAGAAAGAGGAAAAGGAAAAGAAGGCAATGAAGTTGCAGGCAAATAAGGCGAAAATGAAGGTAAGTTATTGTGTTCTTGTTTCCTTTTCAATGGAAAATTATGGGTCTTTAGTTTTCTCTGTGAGTTTTTAATGACAGAGTTTATGTTAGTTTTTTATATAGGGTTTGTGTTATTCTTGTACTCTGTAATTTTGGGAGTTCCAAATATGGTTTTAAACGGATTCTTTCTAATTTTCAGATTCTTGAGATGCATTAATTCTTGGAGTTTTATATTATTTTCATTCCTTATCTAATGAATTTCTGGGTTTACATTTTTTTATTTTTTTCCATCATTATTGCCACACACATAGAGACAATTGTTCATAACTGAAAGAGTATCCTTTTACTTTATTTACAAATACAAGACGTCTTTTGGTGTTTGATTTTGAATTGCAATAAGTTAAGTGGACTCATAATTGGTGATTTCTTTTGAAGAAAGCTTTTATTCATTGAGATTCTCTTCTGCGAGTTCTTAGTTTTGGTATTCATTTTTTCTTATCGCCTTTCGTTCTTTATGGCCTTACTGTTTAGATTGATGGGAGTGATAAGAAGAAGAAGAAGAAGGGCACGGGTGGTTTTCAAGTTGGGAAGAAAAAATTGAAGACCAAATTGTCGGCTTTGGGAGAGGCCAAAGCTGCTCAAGCAATGGAAATTGACAAGTGATTGTGCTTTGAAGATCTAAAAGTCAAGGAGAAATTTACTCTAGAGGTAGTTTCTTTTTTTTCTTTTCTTTTCTACGGTAACATTTGCTATATCAGGCTCCCTTGTTTCAAGAATTCTTAAATTTTGAGTGTTGGGGTTTGATGGTTGGTTTTGCATTTTACTGAGAAAGTAAAGAAGTTCCTTGAAAGCTAATGAGAATGAGAACTCAGTTGCGTATGCATGCTCTTTTAAAAAGTGAAGCAAGTATTTCTCTCTGTAATTTTATGATCCAGATGGATCTTGCCTTTCATGTGTTTGGTAGTGAAGTTTGATAGATAGGTAAAAGAAAAATAAGAAAATAGTAGTTTCCCATGGTTTTAGAGCTTTTAATAGACTTCTTTTAGTTCGTCGAAGTTTGGAAATGCTTCTGGTTACTTCTTCAAGCATTTATCAGAAATCTGTAGCCATAGAATTCAAGTTGCATCGTTTGGTTTCCAAAATGGTTGATTCTATGGGATGTAATCAGCCACTTATTTTTAGTGATGGACCAATCACCTCCCCCTACTAAGGATAATTGATTAATAGAGATATCCCTGTTCTTCAATTATACATATAGTTGTTGAGAGGTTTCCTCTAAAATGATGATTTGGATAGTTGGTTGAGGTTTTCTACACTTACACTGTTCCACATGATTGTGAGTTCTTATTTTGGATGAAAACGTAAATTTCAGAAGGGATTTAACTCATGGAGATCGCCTTTAACTTGGAAGATTTTTTTTTTTTTCTTGGAAAGGGGAAACTTAGAAGAAAAAAAGAGATTATTTGGATGCATGCTTCTATGCATGGGTGGCTGAAAGGATCTCTTGGGAAGTCCAAGTGAATCCATTAAGAAGTGGCAATTGGCCCATGAAGAAGATACGACATGCATGATAGAAAAGTTATACCCCTGCGCCCAGCAAAAAAGAAACAATTAGATCATGGAGGGCTAGATATGTGATTGTAGGCAGGTTTGGAACTCTACTTGCAAAGGATGATCCCTTAGGAAGGAAAATTTAATATTCATCTTGTCAATATGAAATGGCACCTCAGATATAGGTGTGCCCCTAGAAAGGAAAATTTAATATTCATCTTGTCAATATGAAATGGCACCTCAGATATAGGTGTGCCCCTAGAAAGGAGTGATCATTTAACCACCTCTTATACACGTATACATGCATGGCTAGTGGGAGATTCATCCGTAGTGATACCTTTGTAACCCTAGAGCTGTACACATTTGTAGGAGTGGGTTCTTGTTCATAGGATGCCACGAGAGGATTTATTCCATGTATGTCCTTGAGGACCTACTCACAAGTCATTTTCTTGTTAATCTTTTTTTCCTCTAAACTTATCCTATAAATTACTAAATGCTAGTTTTCTTTCTCTTCCTGATGCAAATTTCCTCTTGTGAGATGTAATGTTATCTGCAAGACCAAATCACGTGATGAGCTCCTGGCGTTAACCAATGATGTAACCCAGTTAGCTCAACCGGGTTCACAAATAAAAATTGAAAAGTGTTAAATAGAATAAGAAGGAAACAAAGAACTTCACTGAATCAAAAATGAAAAAAGATAATGAACAATAACTAATAATTGTTAGATATTATTAATTAGTTTCATTATTTGCATATTGTACTATCCATTTTGCTCTTATGATGTTTTTTCTGAAGAAATCTAGGGTTGCTTTGAAAAAATATTTGCTCAACATGCATAAGGCTTGTTTAATGCTTTTGGGTTACTGAAAGGTACAGCTTTCAGTGTAGGTTGAAGCATGGGTGTCAATGGATCTCTTATAGGCTCTCTACATGGCCTTAAGTTTGACCAAAAGCCAAAATTTGTTTTACATCCTCTTTATTTAAAACAAATGAACCATAAAACAAAAAGTAAATGTAAGAACTCAGTTTAGTCGATTCACTAGTATGAGCTTTCCAGACACTAATCAAATTCACTTAAGGCTGTTGAATTTCAAATTGGATCTTGACAATTTTGGTTTGACCCTTTCAAGTCTGGGAAAACACAATGGGGTCTGAAACCATCAGGCATATTTTGTCTAATCCACTCTTTTATACATCTGTTTTTCGGTGAGTTCCCTCCATGAGAGAAGTTGCCCTGCAGAAAATTGCTTTTCCATGTTTGTTTCTTGTGAAAGCGGTGGACGCCGTGAGAAAGCAGCTTCCATGAGCGCTCAGCCATTGCAGTTTTGTGGAAAAACGCTTTCATACCCTAATCGATAGGAAAGCGCATTCATATCCTTATAGATAGGAAAGCACATTCCCAGGGGCAGACCTGTCTCATGAGAAAGTTCTCACCGGGAGAGAACTTTCAAACAAAACAAACACCCCCTTACTGTTAAGACCATTCTTTGAGTCAGAAATCTGGGGGTCTAGGTCGCACCTTGTTTATATTTGAGGTTTGCTGTTTGAAGATCTGAGCTTTGAGGAGAGTTGGTTGGCTTTTGATGGTTTTCCTTTGAACTAGCAGCTGGCCAATTCTTAAATTCTTGAGGAACTTTTTTTTTTTTTTTCAATCAACATTTGATTGAAGATTGAATGAGTATCCTCAAGTTGCGGAGGAAATGAAACAGACATACGGAGGTCTATATCCGTAAAGAACAAGAACATCAAACACCAAGGGAGACAAAAGGAAGTGGGATATGCCACTAACAGTCCACCGTGGTCATCCATTTGGTATTAAAAAGTGACACCATTTGGGAATGTCATACTGATCAAGACTATTGCTCAAGGAGTAAGGAAAATTATTGATAGAATGGAAGAACATGGAAACCTTGGGGATGTCAACTGGACATCTTTGCTTCTACTCTACTTCCTTTGGGCAAAAGGGCAAAAGGGAATGGGGCTCAAAGTGTGGTATTAGAACATCCTTGCCTCGGGAAGAATGTGTAAAAGGCGGAAGTCCTGTGTCCATTCACGTACAGACCTTGATACAGAGTCCTTTTTAAGGAATGGCTAACACTAGAGAAGAAGCAATCTTGTGTCCTAGATTTCCGTGAAGGCAATGAAGAGTGAGTTGCCATGCTTGAAGAACTCATTGTAAATTTCTTCTAAAATATTTGCAGCTTTTGTGACGGTGTGTTTTATTACCAGAAACCATGGCTTCCAGTACTGTAGCACTTCCCATGTTTGTCAAATGGTACGTCCTATGTTTGTTAAATGGGAAGTGCTATGCTGTTTTAAAAGTCTTTGGAAGTCTCTGCTTGACGCTTCTAAGCTTCCTCTTCCACCAATCAAAGATGCCCTTGATTACTTCAAAAATCTTTCATCTGGATTTCTTATATATGTCGCCTGGTAGCTATGTGTCTGTGGAAAGACCATTTGAGATGGAAATTGGAGGCACGGTCTTTGGCCATGTTTGGGATAATGTCTTCGGGCCTTTTTTCAATTTGTTTTTTTTATGTAGGACTGAATTGGTGCAGATTTGGGATATTTGGTATTATGTATAAATTTGATTTGGAGAGAATGTCTATCTGAACCATTGTCAGAAAAATCGGCCGGTTAGCTTGGAACCGATAGGGTTCTTAGTCCAATTAGGTCCTAGCCTAGGGTACAACCCCATAAAATTTCAAGCACAAAACCGGCCGGTTAGGGTTCAAACCTTTTGTGTTTTAGTCAAACCAGTCGGTTTTTCAACAAACCATACCGGTTAGTGGATATAACGGGTTTTGTGAACAAATAACGGTATAGTTAAAATAACACCCGTTATTTCAATTGAAGTTGTTATTTGATGCAGGAATTTACAAGTTGATTTTTTTCAGCTTTTTTTTCTTCTTTTTTCTGCCATTTTTTGACGATTTTCGTTTGATGCTTTATGGTTGTAGAACACTATTTATTGTTTATAAAACAAGCAAATTCGAATCCAAGATTGAAAAATAAAGAGATTTTGTAGATTGAAATGGTGGATTTTCACGCCTTTTGAAATTTCTGCCATTTCATCAAAATACCTTTTTCAATGGCCAATGGTTTTTGCTGAAATTTGAGGGTTTTTAAGCCCTAATCGAATCATCTAGCATATACCTCTTTCAATTTGTTCAAAAAATAAAAGATTGGGGGTTGATTTTGGCTCGAAAAGCTGCTGCTCAAGGAACAAGTGTTCGATCCCAAAAAAACAGATTTTGGATTGATTTTTTGCTGCTCAAAGAACATGTGTTCGATCCCAAAAAACAGATTTTGGATTGATTTTTTGGTCGTTTTTCATCAAATTGATTTGGTATTTTGATCATCAAGGCTTCATTTATCACATAAATTAGGTATGTTTATTTATTATTGAGTAAATATTTTTATAAGAATTTTTTTCTTGCTCGATTTCACATATCTGAATTTTCCTCAAATTTTTTCAATTAAATAAAAAATGCCGTATATTTTTTTTAATGATTTTTAGTGCATTTGAAAGGGTGATAGAAGCTTTTATGATGCTTGTTTGTTGATTTGTTCGCTTATCCAAACATTGACGGTTGTTTTTTGCTTTAAATGTTGTTCAATTTTAGGAGTTTTTGAGAAATCGATTTTCTAAAAAAATATTTTATTTAATAAAATTATTATTTTTGATGAATATGAGAAGAGTTTTTCTATTTTTTTTAATAAAATAATATTTTTTTATAAAATTATTTATTTTGATAAAAATATGTTGTTTTGATTTATGTGACAAAATCTATATGTATCAACCTCTATACCTTTTGACATCTTGTCTTTTACATATGACACGTAAAAGTTGGTGGATCAATTTCTTTTCCATTATTTTTAATTGTGATTAGCTGTATCTTGAAGTGGTGTAAAACTTAAAACTAGAGTGCGTAAACATAATGGGTGTGGTTTGTATAGAGCCTAGGCTCTAAACGATCAAATTAGAGCCTATCTTCAAATAATGTCGAGAAATATGGTTTCACTATTGAAAATCTTTGTGATAGCTTTAAAATATTTTTTCATATTTATTTATAAAGTTTAAAGCTTCAAAAATAGCGAAGATCAACATTTATGAAAACTTGAAAATTGAAGGTCTAAAAAAGCATTACAAAATAAGTTGTTTCCAAAGCTTGCAATCCATTTTTTTCTCTTGCCCATGCACGTTGATGATGAGATGATCAATTTGAAAATATTTAGGCATCAAAAGAACCTCTTCTAGTGAAATTTTTGAGGCAGGCTTAAATTTGATTGTGTAGAGCCTTGGTTCTATATAAACTTTTCACGAGCATATATATATATGCTTATATTTTTTAGTAATAAGCATGGACT